CACATTTTCTTTCCCTTATTTATTATTTAACGTTTCCTTCTTTAAATTGTTTTAATTTTAATTATATTGAATTTAATTTTTTGATAATGTTATTAACAATTTTAAATACTAAAACAATTATTTTGCCTCTTTCTTTTCAGAAAGATTTTTTTCTTTATTTACGTTATCAGAAAAAGTTTTTACTATTTTTTAGTCCCACTAAACTTGAAAGTTAGTATAGTTTAGAAACAAACTTAAAGTTAGAAAATTGCAGATAAAGATATACTCACAAGTAATTCTATTGTGTTTTATTGTTTAGGAAGTTTATAAAAAATGGAAAGTGGAGAAAATTGTTAAAAATTACAATTGCACATAAAAATTTGAAGGTCTTGGAAAAAAATGTCTTTTTTATTTTTCATATTATTTAGGATTCAAATCATTTTTAATCCTTAAAAAAGTATAAATATGTATTAATATTTAAGTAAATAAATATTTCTATTAAAATCTATTTTCAAGAATCATTTTTTAAAATCTAAAATTAAGTTAACAAATTTAAAGTAAATTATTGTTTCCCACAAATTCGAGCATTTTTTGTTACAGTAAATTTTGATTTCAACGAGAAAAAAAATCTAGGCCAAGAATTATCCTCAAAAACGAAAAGGCAAGCATTACATAAATTTGTGGTTTTAGAAGAGAATCTAAATTATAAATTAAATCGTTGGAAATGAAATTATGAGAGGTCAGGTGTGGATGCTGCGCGAGGGGAAACTTCTCAGCAAAAAGAGATTTAGAAATGTGTATATATCTGTATAATATGGAAAATTGAGGCAAATAGAAATGTTGTCAATGAAAAAAAAAAATGGAAAAGAAAACAAGTGCTCTCTGGAAAAAATTTAAGTATATGAGGTAAATATTAGAGAAAGAGAGAGTGAGAGGGAAAACGATAAAAAAAGAGAGAATCCTAAGCAGAAAAAAGCAGCACGTAATATACTTTGATATACATTGATTAATTGAATTATTTAATAGAAATTAGTATTTCTTTTTACTTTTTATTTTTTGATAATTGTAATAAAAAATATTTTCTTTTCTTTTTGTTTCAGGTGAGTTAATATATGTTTCCTGTCAAGTTTATTTTGTAAGTAAATATTTATTGAAATGTATATATAATTATGTTTTATAAGTAACCTTTAATTATTAAAGGAAGAATTTTGAAATTCTGATTAATCTTTTCGCAATTCGGGTCTGTATAGGTCATAGTACAATAATTTTTTATTTAATTTGAAAAATACTCTTTTTTAAATTGAATTTACGATTTTAAACTAAATTCCCTTTTTAACAAATTTAAATCCCTTTTTTAAAATTTAAATCCCCTTTTTTACCATTTGAATCCCTTTTTTTAAATTTATATCCCATTTTTAACATTTAAATTCCTTCCTTAAAAAAAATCTCTTTTTTTTACCAAATATATTACATGAAAAAACTACTGTGAGTGGGGTGAAGAAAACACTTTTTTACTTTTTACCCCACAAAATCGTAATTTTCAAATTTTTATTATATTCTAAATGGCTGCTAAAACAGTTCAATAGTTTTAATATAAAACCCCAATGTCTTTTTTACCCCACTCTACTCTATAATTATTAATTTTAAAAATTGTTGTTTAAATTGCAAGATGAATAGATGATGTAGTTTGGGGCAAATGGGGTGACAAAAAATAAGTATTGTTACAATTTTTCTTAGAGTTATCTTTACTATATTGATAGTAGTCTGAATTGAATGAATGTAATTTTTACCATACTATTTTAATTTAAATTAGCATTTCGTTAATTACAGTTAGCATAGTAAAAATAACAGTTACTATTGGAAAGCTAACAATCAGTATAGTAAAAATTAAAATTATTATTACAACAGAGGTTTAAATTCGTAGTTTACTAATTGTAATTTCTACTGTATTGTTTGTAAGCCTTACTGCACTGTCTGTAATTTTTACCATACTGACGATAATTAACGGTAGGCTAATATGAATTTTATCCTTAAAAATTAAGAGTATAATTTTAGGGCCCAAAGTTGTAACTTAATTCATAGTTTTAAATTTAAAAATAGTCAAACATTTTTCACTGAATTTTAGCCTCGAGATTATGATTTTAATGTCTTAAGTTATGACGTAATCCATAGTTTTAAATTTAAAAATATGCTAATTTTCAATCATGTTGGTTTTAAGATTTATATGGTTCCAGACTTTGTTTTTTCTGCGCAGAAAAAAGGAAATAGAGTGAGAGTGTGTGTTTAAGAAAGAAGTAAAACAGGGTTGCCACAGAAATTTAATTTTGTTTTTCCCTAACTTTTCCTTGATTTCCAGACAAAATTTTGACTTTTTCTCTGACCCTTAAGAATATTCTGATTCACTCAAAAAATTATTAGATACTCCAAAAAATGTTCTATTACATTTATTTAAGAATTTCTTTTATTGTAAAATTATTCGATTTCATCAATATCTTCTTTTTTAAATAAATATTTAATCATTAAAATTTTTCTATAGGAATTAAGATTTTCAAATTCAAACCTTCTGAAATTCAATAACTTATAATAAATTAAAGATGACAGAGTGATAAAATCATTATTTTATATCATAAGAATATTGTAACTATAAATTTAAATTTTCAAAGTTGAATATTCAATTATAATTTAAAATTTTGAGTGAAATTCATTTTTTAATCAATTTTTATTAGAAAATTTTTCGAGAATTCAATTATTTAAATACAAAAATAAATAATTTATTAAATAATAGAAATTCAATTATTTACAAATTATTCCCATATTTTATTCAATTATTTTCATAAATAATATCATTTTTTACAGGGATTCAACTATTTTCAAAAATAATAAAATTCAATGCTGAATTTCAATTAATTTTAATACAATTTTAATGGAATTCCTCGAAAAAAGTTATTATTCTTAAAAATTTTATTAAAATTTATCAAAGTTTAATTTTTTTAATAAACTTTGCTACAATTTATTTATTTGAATTTAAGTATTATTTTCAATACATTTTCAATTAAATTTCTTTAAAGAATAAAATTATTTTCAAAAATTCAAATGAAATTCTTTGCATAACAATTAAATTTTCTTCAAAATAATTTTAATAAAATTCTTCGCAGAAATCCAATTATGATTAAAAATTTACAAAAACTCTAATCAAAATTTCAACTATCTTTATAAATAATAAAAATTTTCTCCGTAATTCAATTATTTTCAAAACTTTTAATAAAATTCTTGGTAGAATTTCAATTATTTTTAATACAATTTTCATCAAATTTCTCGAAAAATGCAATTATTCTTAAAAATTTTATTAAAATTTGTCAAGAAAATTCAATTATTTAAAAATTTGTTTATTAAATTATTTAAGAAAATTCAATTTTAAGAAACATTCAATTGTTTATTAAGATATATTTATTTTTATTGTTAAATAATTGAATTTTTGTGGAATTTTCTAATAAATATATTGATTTAAAAATTAATTTCAAATTAAAATCTTTGAAAATTTGAACTTTTCATACTTTTAACAGCATGTGACTGTTAGAAATTCAATGGAAATTTTTTTGATCACTTTCCTCTTTAAATATTTAATAAACTGAGTTGAAATGTTGCAAAAAAAACAGTCCAAAATATAATAAAGAAGGGCAGTGATGTGCAAAAGTTTTGATAATTCAAAAATAAATTATAAAAAAAGAAAAAACACTTTGAAATCGGTAAAGGCGAGAAATTGATTAAAAGTGACAGTGACAAATGATCATTTTAAAGTAATTTGTAATAATTATTTTAAAGAATATTAAAACTTTTGCACATCACTGCCCTTCTTTATTGTATTTTAGACTTCTGTAAAAAAATTTCAACTCAATTTATTAAATATTTTAAGAGAAAAGTGGTCGAAAAAATTATCATTGAGAACCTAACAATCACATGTTGTTACACTGTAAAGAAAGGGAGTTAAATTTTAACTCCCCAGGGGATTCTATAAAAGTCGCATCCATTGGGGAGTTAATACCAAGGGAGTTGGATAAAGGGAGTTAAAAATTTACACCCCTATGCTAACTCCCCAAGAAATAAATAATTCGCGAGGGTGTTGATGAAAGGAGTTATTAAATTAACTCTCTTTTGGAGTTGATTTTTAACTCTAAAAATTTCACTCCCAACTCTCGAGCCCATTAACTCCCTTAATTTTTTTACAGTGTAATTACGCTGTAAAAAATTTAGGGAGTTGACGGTCACCGGTGTTGGGTGTTAAAATTTTCGAGTTTAACATTAACTCCAAAAGAGATTTAATTTGATAACTCCCTTCATCAACACACGTGCGAGTTAGCATAGGGGTGTAAATTTTTAACTCCCTTCATCCAACTCCCCAATGGGTTCGAGTTTTATAGAATCTCTTGGGGTGTTAAAATTTAACTCCTTTTTTTTACAGTGTAAGAATTCTATAGAATTAATTTTTCTCAATAAGTTGAATGGAATTTTTTTTAATTATATTTGAAGTTTTTAATTTCTAATATATTTAATTGAAGAATATAAGAATAATCTTAATTTCTATAAAAAAATAATGATTAAATATTTGTTTAAAAATGAAGTTATTGATGTTTTCGAATAATTCTCGTTTTAAAAACCTGGAAAAATTCCGTCTTTTAACCTGGAAAACTTGGAAAAGTCAGCGAATTTGAAAAGAGCAGAAGCGTTGCCACCCTGACCTGTGGCAACCCTGTATAAGGAAAAGAGTAATAAAGGTGGTGTAAAAGGAAAAGCAGAGAGTGTTAAAGAAAGAAAAGGGGCGAAACAGGGAAAGAGAGTGATAAAGATATAGTAAAAAAAAGAGAGAGCGTGAGAAAGAGGGAAAAAGAATGATAAAGATGGAGTAAAAGAAGAAAAGAAGGGAGAAGGTGGGAAAGAAAGTGATGAAGATAGAGTAAAAGAAAAGAAGAGAGGTATAGAGAAGGAAGGAGAAAGAGGGAAAGAGAGTGATAAAGATGGAATAAAAGAAGAGAGGAGAGTGAGAAAGAAGAAGGGAGAAAGAGAGTGATAAAGATGGAGTAAAAGAAAAAGAGAGAGTGAGTGAGAAAGAGGAAGAATTATTAGTGATGGACATAAGATGAAAAAAGAGAGGCAAGGAAGTGAGAGTAGCAGTAGTAGTAGAAGCAGCAGTAGCAGAAGCGTCGGCGGCAGCAGCGGCATAGGACGTGTGACCCAATTTTTGCAAAGAGTTGAAGCCGCTGGCGGGGCACCCCACGGAAAATCCAGCGCTTTTCCGGATGCTACGTCACTGTGCATGGCGCGGCGTCGCGTGAGAATCGTTCCGTCAGTCGGGTCTCGGCTACCGTCAATACGACGGCGCTATCCTCGTTTAACTGTGGGGTTATGCGTGGCGTGCCGCCTCACAACATTTCCTTCTTTTTTTTTACACCGCACTGTTTTCCTTTTCACGTCCAATTGCCAAGTGTGTGCCGCTTACACGACTGAGAAAAGCGTGAGACGTATTTACCTGCGTCAGCCATTGAACCCACGAATCGGGTCACCCGGTTTTGTGCCGCTCGTGCGTTTCCTGTGTGTGAACTTTGACCCTGAACTCAGGGGTACATCACCTTGTGAGCAGTATGTTGTCAATAATCATTTTTTTCATTCTTTTACTTTCCAAATTCTTTTGGACCCTCTTCTCTTGTATTTTTTATATGTGTTTCTATTGGAGTTAGTCAATTTTTCTTTCCGCGGTGTTAAAAATTAAAAAAAAAACTAGACAAAAGCATTTTCATTTCGAAAGGAAGAAATTAAAATTAAATAAATTGAAATTAATTTTGAATAGGAGAAAAAAGAGTAATTCAAGGTGGGAAAGATTTTTTTCTTTTTTTTTTCTTCCCCTGCCCCGCGCTCTCTTCCTTCTTGGAATTGTTATTTCTCATTTTCTACAGGTGTTGCCGGCTCGATTGAAATTCAAATAAATAATTTTCTTTAAACTCGAAATGCAGAACTTGCGTACTGAGGGGTGGAAGGTCACGAGAAAATCTATCGACGGGCTCGTCGACATGAGCCGGGTTTTCAGCCACAAGCTTTTAATTTTTTTTTTTTAAATAATTTTTTTCCACTGGTTGTAATTTTTTTTCAGCTCCTTCTTCTTTTTTGCGAAATATATTTTATTTTTTTCGAATGTGTCGTTTGTGATAGTAGACATTCACTGATGTAAAGTGCTTTGAAGTCATCTGCACGCGATGTATAGCTCTTTTAGGTCCTCTCGAGTGTTGTTGCTCAGCATTGCAGAAGCCATTGAATTCTTTATTCGCACGTGATTAGTGTTCTCTTGAAACTTTGCTAAAGATAAACTGTCTTAGGGGGATTTTTTTTACAAAGAGAAAAGTGGGGGCCTCTGACTCTCAGACTCCACTCATCCTGATCATCGTCGTTTTCTTCTTCTTTTTTTTTTTGCAAAACATTTATTATCCAAACATACCTCAAAGGTTGTGATTGCAATTTTTTGCGCACGGGGAAAAATTGTTGTTTACAGAGAAAAATGTTGTTTATCTTCTGAAATGGTGTAGTTTTTAATACGCGGCAATTTTTAACGGATTAGGAAAATTTATTTACACAAAGTGGAATTTTTTAGCGGTAACGTTTTTGGAATCTTGTTTACTTGAGAATTAATTTAATTAACAGAAGACTTTTTTTCATGGGGAGAATTCTCTCCTGGAAATTTTCTGATTGTTCTCTTTACTATAATAATTGTACTCTTTACTACACTAATTGTAATATTTACTATAATAATTGTAATCTTTACTATACTAATTGTAATCTTTACTGATTGTAATCTATACTGATTGTATTTTTTTACAGTGAAAATTAAAGGCAGTATAGTAAAAATTAAAGTTAGTACAGTAAAGATTACAATCAGTATTGCAAGAATTGAAGTCAATACAGTAAAAAAAATAGAACGAGTGGAGTAAAGATGACAATATGTATAGTAAAAGTTAAGTCAATATAGTAAAGATTACGGTCAGTATAATAAAGATTACAGTCAGTTTGGTAAAAATTGCAATCAGTGTAATAAAAATTACAGTCAGTATAGTAAAGAATTACAGTCAGTACAGTAACGCTTAGAATCAGTGTAGTAAGAATTATAGTCAATACAGTTAGAAATACAAGTTAGTACAGTAGAAATTACAATCAGTATAGTAAAAATTACAAGTTAGTACAATAAAGATTACAATCAGTATAGTAAAAAAAATACAGGTTAGTACAGTTAAAATTACAATCACTACAGCAAAAATTACAGTTAGTACAGTAAATATTACAATCAGTATACTAATAATTACAGTTAATACAGTAAAGATTACAATTAGTACAGTAAAAATCAAAGTACACTAAAAAATACAGTTAGTATATTAAATTTTACAGCCACATTTAATCATAACAATAATTGCTCTATAAAAACTAAAAATTCTTATAATTATATGGAAATCTCTACCAATAAAATGGTAATAAACTCTTGATAACAATAATATTAGAAGAATAAAAGAGAGGAAAAAAAAGCTGTAATAAAAAGGCATACGTTGTTATACGCTTTAAGTAGTAAAGATATATACCTATACTCTTATACATATATACCTACAAAGAATTATATACCTACCTTGAAATTTAATGATTTTTTGAACACTCGCATTTAGTGTTAATGCCTTTGAAATCTATATAAAAAAAAGAGTACAACTGTAAAGACGCATAAAAAACTTGAAAGATATATAGAAACAGAAAACGATTGAGTACAGAGAGAAAGTTCATTGTTTGCCCAGAAAACTATAAATACAATTAGATTTTATAGTTTTCGTTCTCTCTCCTTATAACAAAAAATTTTATTTCTTTCGATTTAGAAAAAAAAATAAATAGAAAAAAATTTGGGTGCAAGGAACGAACAGAATTGAGTTTTTTTAGTTTTATAAAAATAAAGTAATGATCGTTATATATGTATATATATATATACAAGAGCAATATAGAATCGAGCAATTTTAGGTTTAAGCCCTTGAAGCGGATATCAACAAGTTTGACCAGAATATTCTCGTAATTTTTATGTCGGTAATTTATCTTACTGCTGATAAATGTTACTGTCATCACATAAATTTATTTCTCTTCTCGAAATTATTTCTATTGTCATACAAAAATGGGGAGGGCATTAAAATCTTTTTTATTACTCATTGTTTAATGCGTTAATTATTCGACAATTTTTAGTTGCGATCTTCCACCCTGAAGTAATATTAATTGAGAAAAATATTCGTTTATATAGAAATTCAAATATTATATTTATTATTATAAATATTATTATTAATATTATTATTAATATTATTATAAAAAAATAAAATAATAATAATGAGATATTTTTGGAATTAATAAAAAAGCAATAAATATATTAATAATAATAATAGTGTAATTATTAATAATTACTATTAACTATTTATAAATTATTATACAAAAATATTTTAATGTTAGTTTAAAATTATTAATTCATTATTTTTATTATTATTATTATTATTATTCTTTTATTATCTTATTATTATTATATTATTTTTATTATTATTTTATAGTAAATATTATTTACATTATATATTTAATTTCAAAAAATTTAATTAAGATTGATTAATACTAGCACAATTATAATAATTGTTTATTAACATATTTTTTTAAAATTCACATTAATTAATGAAGCAGAGAAAAAGACAGAAAAGTTTTGAATTTCAATTTAGCTGTTTTTATAAAGAGAGGAGGAAATTTTTATAGCTCATTATAGCACCCTAATTAAATACATTATCTATCAAAACTAATATTACAACAAATAATTATTCATTTACGATTCATAAAATAAAAATATTAATTAATTTGAATTAAAAAATGAAAAAGTAATAGCTGATTTAAGTTGAAAGTAAAAAGAAATCGCATAAAATTAATTAAATTGAATTGAAAGAAAAGTAAATAATTCAGACAAAATTAATTAAATTGATTTGAAAGTAAAAAAGGAGAATAAAAATAAATTGATAATGGTAAACAAATTTATTATAAATGGAAAATAAAATAAAAATTGATTCTAATTGAAGGTAAAAAAATAATTGCACAAAACTAATTAATTTATTAGACATTTCTTTTCTATTTAATATTTATATTCAATATTTTATTTCTATTCAATAAATTGTTTTTTATTATTCTTTATTTTTAGTTCTATTTTTTCCTATTTTCAATTCAATAATTCGTTTTTTTCAATTCTTTTTTTTTAATTTCAATTCAATTTAATTAATTTCTTTCAAATTACTTTCTATTTAATAAAAGAATCAGTAATTTTTTAAATGAATATGTAATTGAAATAAAATAATTAATTTGTATTGAAAGTAAGAAAAAATAATTTAAAAGAATTCGTTAAATTGAATTAAATGTAAAAAAAGGTATTGAGAAAAATAATTGAATTGAAAGTAAAAAGAAGATGCCAAAATAACAATATAGAATAATAAAAATATTTATAGAATTAACAGTAATTAAAAAAGATAATTAAATTCAATCAAAAATAAAGAAAAAGGGGAAAAAAGTAAAAATAAATAATAGTAGGGAATAAATTTATTGAAAACTGCATAAATGAAAATAATAAATAATAGTTAGAAACATTCATTACGTGAAATAGACAAAAAGAATAGAAAATAAATCTTAATTCTCTCTTTTTAGTTTTCTTTTCAAAATTTCAAAATTTTTTTAATAAAAAAATATGAAATTATAATATTTCAAGTGCAAATTGAAGATTGTCATTTTTAAACGAATTCAATGACATTATGACATATTTTTATATGTTCCTATATATCCGCGATGTTATTTGAAGATTTCACAGATAAATGTCAAATAAAAAGTTTTATTTGAGTCGAAGGCTCCGGTTTTTCGATGAAAGAACCCTTGGAAGTATTAGAGAGAGAGAGAGAGTGAGAGAGAGAGAGACTGCAAGAGAGAAAGAAAGAGAGAGAGAGAGGGTGGAGAAATGGTCTGCGACCCAATTTTTGTTGCATGCTTTTGTGCTCAGTTACTATCCTCGTCTCGTATAAATAATTTACAATAGCAGAAGAAAATTTAATTTCAACTTTTTCTATATATGCCCCTGTTAACATTAAATTTAATTGGAACTCGGGGATAATTCTTTATTATCAACGTACAGATTCAAGTTGAATGAACGTTTTGAAGAATAGAATAGAGGGAAAATTGCGAATTGGGGGGTGATAGGAAAAAAAAAATTTTCATTTGTTACAAATTTTTACAAGTCTATTTAATGTACACAATTATTTAACTCGTTATTTCTATTAAAAAATTTTATTTTATCCTGTCCAATTAAATTTTGTTCTTTAATACATTTCACATCAGAATCTGTTGTAGCAAAATAAAATTGGTTTCATATTTAATATTAAATTTCTTTTCTTTTTCCTTTTATGTAACGTGTGCGGATTTTATTTTTTGTTTTCCGTTATATATAATATAATGATAATTAAGTTTCAGAGTTTTTTTCGTTAAGGAAAGAAAAATAAAACTAATTTTTTCGTCCAAAGTATAAAACTTATTTTGGAAATATTCAAAACGAAGACAATTTTTTTTTTTTATTAACAAATTTTCTTTTTGTTAATGTAATAAAATGAGAAGAGTGTGATAAATTTTTGACATTATTATTTAAAAATATCATTTATCTTGATGAAATATGATATTTGTTGTAGATAAATAGATTAATGTTGGGGAAGAGAAAAAATATATATAAATTCTATAAAAATAGTGAATAAAGAGAATGTATATGGAAAAATGGATATAAATATCTCTAGAGGTGAGCTGGATTTTCTTTTGCTTTTTTCGAGAGATTTTTTCTTTTTTCTTCTTTTCTTCTTTTTTTTGAATTCAATCATCTATGAGTGTGTCTATCTAGCAAATGACAGTTTCTATCGTTTATTCGCGAGAATCCACGCAATATGAAACCAATTATATTTTTTTCTTTTTTTTGATAAACACACTAAAAGAAAAACTGGGGGCGCTTTTCAAAGCTGATGGGAAAAAAGAAAAATCGTAGGAAAAAGGAAAATCGAGGAAAAAAATATTCTTCTAATTTGAGATTTATAAATTCCATCGAAAAAAAATTCTAAATTCTCGTCTTTTTCTCTTTTTCTAAAAAAGAAGTTATATTCCAAATCAAACTAATTTTTTTAATTATAAATAATGTACATTTTTTTGTAACTTATTTATTAGTGATTTTTTCATTTAATTTATTAAAAGTAATAATAATTTTAAAGTTGCTAATAATAATATAATATTGAAATTAATAATAATAATATCAATATTAATAATTACTCTTATTATTATTATCATTTCTATATTTCATATATTTACTTTTTCTTTCAAATATTCATTATAATTTATTTAATTTTTCTTTAATGTATTTTTTGTACATTTTCGAAAATTGAATTGAAATTCAAAAATTGAGATGAACATTTCGAGAAATATTGTCGAAAAAATGTAAAAAGTAATTCAAAAATACAGAAACATATTGCTTATAATTTTTCTCATTTAGATTAATCTATACACTTTAATCATCACACTGGAAAATTATAATTTCCGAATTGTCATTTAAATTAAACAATAGATATAATATTCTCTTTGCGTGATTGAAAATTTAATTTCAATTTAACATTCGGGTATAATTAACTTTCAGAGGGATAGATCGATACATATATAGTTTATATCTAGGTATATAGAGAGAAATAATCCGAGATTTATAGAAATCAATTGTCGAAAATGATTTTCAAGCTTATAATGATTAAAGCATGCGAATGCAGTTTTTTTTTATTTGTCACGACTAAGTCAAAATGAGTTTTTAGAGCTTTTCAATTTTCTGTGTTTTTTTCCTATACGTTTATCTTCATCGTTTAATTCCACTTGGGTTTTTTTTTGTTTGTTTTCCTATTTGGCAATTTTAACGCGTTTATATTGTTAATTGTAAACAAAAATTGTTTCGTTTTTCGTATTCGTTTTTTTTTTTTTTTGAATTTTTATCTTCTTTTTCATTTTAAACTGAAAAAAATGTTGATATTTAGAAAATATTTGAAAATTACAGGGATCTTTTAATTTTATTATTTTTATTTAATTTGTAATTGTATTTAACAAAATTTTTTTTAATAACATTTTTAATCTTTACTTTAAATTGCAGTTTTAATTTGTAATTATATTTTAAATTACATTTCTAATCTTTACTTACATTTTTAATTTTTAATTACATTTTAAATTACATTTCCAATCTTTAATTACAATTTAAATTATATTTTTAATTTTTGATTAAAGTTTAAATTCATATAAAAATTTTCAATTTTGTCTATTTTGTTTATTCAAATAACTAAATAAATTTTACCAAACAACAATAATTTACTGTAAATTTAGTACATTTTAATTTTTACCAAAAGAATAAACAATGAGTTTCAATATTATTTTTGCACTGAATTTTTTTTTTTGCGGTACGAAAATATAATTACTTCGGTTTATTGATATTAGAAAAAATATTAGAAAAAAAAAGTTTAATTAAAATGAATCCTTAATAAGAGTTTTCTTTTTTCCTCTGATAAAAAACTGCGTATAATTATTGTTATAAGGATTGGAAATTTCAATTTAATATTGTTTCGAGAATCGAAGGAAAATATTTGCAGTATCTTGAAGAATGGGTTAAATGTGTGGATAGTGCTCTTCCAATTAGTTCGATAATCGATAATAATTGAGTTAAAATTATCTATGATGTCCAATCTGCCCTCCAGATTTTCCCATTCCACCGAAGCTTGTGTTGATTTAGTTAACCCCAAAGTTTTCTTTCTCAAGCAAACATTATTTGCGGTTAGAAACTTGGCCCAAAAAACAATTTTTTTTTACATTCATTTGCAATATTTGACGAGCCACTTTAATTAATCATCATTTTTATTTTGTAATTATTTTTATTATTTTCAATTCAATTTTTATTCGAATACGATTTTTTTCTATTTTTTCTAATAAAATCTGATTTTTGTATTTTTTCTCTAAAAATCAATATTTTTTCTGTTAAAATTAAAAAAAAATATTAAGAAAAAAATATTTCCTCCTCTCTTTATTAGACATTTTTGTAAAAGTTTCAAGTTTTCGAATAATTTTTTCTTTACTTAAAAGAGGTTTGTTTTATTAAAATTTCCATCGTCGATATTTAGTGATAATTATTACATTCGGACATATTTTTCAGTTTTCGGAGTTTTCGTGTTCTGGACAAAATGTAATAATTATTACTAAACAAAAATTTATTTTCCTATAGGGAAACTTTCTACAAATAAGTGTGGAAAAAAGAACTTTAAAGACTTTCTAGTTTGACAATCACTTTTGCCTTTCCTATGAATCTATTTATTATTGACTGATTAGAAAAATTTAGAACTCTAATATTTAAAACTAAACCTATGGAAAGAACACTCTAAAATTAACAGTAAAATTAATAAAATTAAAACAAAATTAATTATAAAATATAAAATAAAGGAAAACAAAAGAAAAGAATAGAAAACAATAGAAACAAAATCCATAAAATATAATAAACAAAGTAGTAAAAGAAAAAATCTTTATATCTCATTAAATATGATAAAATTCTAGGGAAAATAAAAAAGGTGCTTTCAAGGAACAATTAAAAATAAAATTTTTTTTCTGGTGAATAAAAACGGAAGAAAGTTCTTGTCGAAAAAATAGCGTGTTTCAATCAGAAGAAAGTTCGATGTTTATATAATGAATAATTTAATCTTGCGGTAATATAGCCAAACTGAAAAAAATTGAAAGAACATATTTACCCTCCCGTATATGCATTGAACAAAGATAAAACAATATTTAAAAAACCGGAAAGTTCGTTTTTCTCCAGCCAAAAATAAAACAAAACAAAAAGTTATAAAGCTTTGTTTCCGAATAAAAAAAAATGTCCATTGTTGTTTGGGTCAACGTATAATTGCTCGAGCATTTCCCACATCATGTACTTTTTTCCATATTGAAAATATTCTCGAAATTCCCAAACTATTGAAATTCGTAACAAAAAAAAAAAAAACATTTTTATTTCATTCTTTCGTAAAATTAAATCCCTGAAAATTTGTATTAAATAAATATGTTTCTATGTAGAAATTTTCTCCTTTTACAAAAGAAACTGCAGGAAAGGAAAAATTAATATAAAAGTCTGGAGGCGTTATATTTAAAATATATCCAAAAATTATAATTCTATAGTGAACCTCGAGAACTCTCTTTCTCTATATACGAAGTCGAGAGAATAGAATTTAAAATCCATAGCGTAGGAACTATATTTTACAACAATTGAATTTTTCAAAACTTATGACTACTTCTAATGCTATTGTCTATTCCAAATGTTCGATATCAGTGCAATAAAATAATTTCCGTAGATTGTGAATGTGACAAGTGTTAAAAATTTGAGAATATTTAAGGGAAATATTAAAAAATATTTGCATAAAAATATAGACATAGGAGTATAAATAAAAATTTGCATAAAAAGGCAAACAGAAACTTGCTTAAAACATAAACAAAGATTTAAGTCAGAAGATAAACAAAGATTTGCGTCAGAAGATAAGCAAAGATTTGCATCAAAATATAAACAAAGATTTGCATAAGAAGATAAACAAATATTTGCATTAAAATGCAAACAAACATTTGCATAAAAAGGTAAACAAACATTTGCGTTAAAAGATAAACAAAGATTTGAATCAAAACATAAAGAAACATTTGCATAAAATGCTAAATAAAGATTTGCATAAAAGTAGAAACAATACATAAAAGTATGAACCATACATAAAAGTTTAAACCAAAAAGAAAAGTATAAACAGCAAACAAAAGTATGAATAAAAAGTAAAAGCAGAAAAAAACAAGAGATCAAAATGAGAAATACAAAAAGTATTTTCTGATACTTCTGATACAATAAAAATAATGGATTTTGCCATCGGAAAAAGTCTCCTTATTGTGGAGGAGACTAAAAGTAAATGCAGAATTCTCCATAGGCGAGAGAAAAAATTTTATAAGAAGAAAGTATAGAACAAAATATGAGAGGTAAATAGCTCGAGAGTGCAGTGGCTAACCAATGAAGAGAATGGAACTTGCCGATAAATGCAATATCGATCGATAAGAAGGTGTTTCGAATTTCTTTTTCATCATACTTTGAGGAAGTACGAATCCAGCTACTCTGAAACAAAAAAAACAACGTACTTCCTCAAAACATTACTTCTAATAAGAAGAGTGATGATGTAAATCCAGGTCAGATTCAAAATTATCCGAAAAAGAACAAAGCCCCCCCCCAAAAAAAATACAAGACTATGTCAGATACTTTAAAAATACCCGAAAAATTGTAAATCTAAGAAGTAATTGTCTAAGAAGGAGGAGAAGAATAAAAAATAAAAATGTGAGGGAGAAACTTTATTGTGAACATTATTGTAGAGACCTATTTAGAATATTGAGAGAGTCGAGTGATAACGGAGTGAAAAATACGAAGACGATTATACAACATGTCGGAAGAAGGAAACAAACGGTGAATTTTAGTGAGAAACACCTTTTTTAAGGGGTGTGTGTGTTTTTTCGTTTTTTTGTGATAAAAAAGTGTTTTTCTTTTGTGGTGCCTGGTGTTGACGGCCCTGGATGTTTCGACGCTGAGGGGTGCTAGGGTGTCGAAGTGGGGGGCGCGTGGTGCCTGCCGTGCGCCGGCCGCGGCGGCGGTGGCGTCGGAGGGAAGGGAGGAGGTATTTCAACCTCCGATTCTCCCGAGATCACGAGGAAGCTTTCGTGCATTCAAAAACAACATCAACTACATCAAGTTGAACACCCTGTCACGAACATTCAACAGCGCGCCCCACTTAGTGACCTTGACGAGGACCTCGACGAACTTGAAGGCGAAAGAGATCGGCTACATAAGGAAGAGGATTATTCACGTGACGGTACAACACAGCATCGGTTGAGTCCAAGACTACACGATATTGAGGAGGAGGACGATGAAGAGGGTCGACACATCAAGGAGCGGTAAGTTTTTATTTGTATTTCTATTCTTTTGGTTTTACATTTCCTGAAAATTAAATTTACCTTGGGGATGATAAGGATTCTTTGTTTGGGAAACTTGTTTCTGGGGATGATTTATTCTTGTTGAGAAATTTATTGAAATCGGTAGGATTTTGGGTTTATTTCCAAGTAGAAGTCGGGACTTTTTTCAAGGCGAACGTTAGAAATCGGGAGAATAAATCGGAACTTTAGCTAGACAAACGGTTAAAAAATAGTAGAAATCGGGACTTTTTTGACGCAAACGTTCGAAATCGGGGACTTCTCAAGACGAACGGTCGAATTTCGTGTCGGAATCGGGACTTTTGCTAGTTGAATAGTTGAATATTCAGTAGAAATCGGGACGTTTTCGATGCGATAGTTAGAAATCGGGAATTTTGTAACAAAAATGATCGAACTGGAAAATGAGATCAGAACTTGAGCTATTTGAATAGTTCTTGAATAGTTGAATAATTAGTAGAAATCGGGGTTTTTTTGACGCGAACATAAGAAATCGGAGATTTCGTAAGATGATCGTCCGAACAGAGAGTAGAGATCGGGAATATCGCTTGTTGAACAATTGAATAATTAGTAGAAATCGGGAAAAGAAATCGGGGATTTCGCAAGACGAATAGTCGGATCGTGAATAAAGATCGATACTTTTGATGATTGAATAATCAAATTGCAATAGAAATCGGGCGATTTTTAAGTCAAGCGTCCTAGATCGGAAGTAGAAATCGGGGCCTCTACATGACGAACGGTCAAATTGGATGTAGCATTTGGAGGTTCAGCTTGTGGTATAGTTAAATCCGTAGTAGAAATCGGTATATTTTCGCGACGAGTGTTACAAATCGGGAGTAGAAATCGGGTCTTTTCGTGGCGAATGATACAAATCGGAGATTTCGAAAAACGAACAGTGGAAATCGGGATTGAAATTCAAGATTATAGCAGAAATCGGGAATGATTCTTTAAGGCGAACATTACAAATCGTAAGAAGAAATCGGAGATTTCGCAGGATGAACAGTTGAATTCGGAATCGGAAATTAAAGATCGGGACTTGTGCTAGTTGAACAATTAAATTGGTTGCAGTAATCGGGATATTTACGTTTCGACGCGAGCATTCCAGATCGCAAGTTGAAATTGGAGATCACGTAAAACGAACTGTCAAATTGAGAACAGAAATCGGAGATTTTATTATACAAAAGAATTGATTAGAATTCGGGACTTTTTCGAGATTAGCATACCGAATGGGAAGCAGAAATCGGGACCTTTTCGAGTCGATCGTTTTAAAATCGGAACCAGAAATCGTCGATTTCGCAAGACGAAAGTAAAGAAACGGTGATTTTGCAAGACGGACTTTTAAATTCTGACGAAATCGGGACTTTATCGAATCGATCATTGAAATCAGAAGAAATCGCGAATTCCGATCAAGATACCGTCAACCAAGAAGCGAGAATCGGTTACTTTGTGAGACGAACTGTCAAATTGGGAACAAAAATCGTAAATAGTGCAACTCGAGCGATGGAATCGGGCATTCGCAGCGTGGCTTTGGTAGCCTTCGGCTATGAGTTAGAAAAGGAAGGACGATACGAAAGACGTAACCAAGGACGGACGAAGCAATTAAACACCGGTTTCTTCCAAAACGTAAATAGATTTATTTTCTTTAATTTATTTTCCTTACATAATCATAAATTCGGTAAATAAATTTCACAAATTCAATCAATATTTTAAATTTAGAGTTTAAAGTTCACGACTACTGTGTATCGATAAAAGAAAAGAGTCTTGGAAAAAGAAATGTGAGAAACAAGTAGTGAATTTATTTTCAGGAAGTGTATTGTATTTTTTTCCCTCGTTATCAAAGTTAATAAAAGGCGAAACTCAAATTGACCCCCTTTTTCGTCGATATAGACTGTAGAGATCATCACACCAAGATGAAAATAGCAAAAGGCGATAATAGTCTGTTAAATTAACAAGGGACATTTGCTATGGGTGATATAGGGCCAAGGGCAAGAAATATAGATCTCTCACTCTCTCTATCTCTCTCTATCTCCTTCTCTCTTTCAATATCTATTTCCTCGATCCCTTATATATCGAAGTCAGAGAGACTAAAGTATAAGTTGTAATATCTACACGATATATAAAGCACAGAACATAATATTCGAATGGTGAAGAGATAGAAATGTAGACTGTAAAGCGAATTGAACGTCAAATCCGTTGGCTCTCTCACTCTCTTCTTCTCTCTCTCTTGAAACTCGCTCACACAATGCAAATGTCATGGGAATTCAATCAGTTGCAGACACTCTAGCAATTCCAATTCCTTCAGTTCTGACAGTTTATTTGTTTTTTAAAAAATAATTTTTATAATCAACATTCATCAAGCTTGTTGTTGGTAACAAAGTAAAAATTTAATGGTAAATAATGTTTGTTTTCGTTTTTCTTTGCAATGAACGTGCGTCAGAAAGGGATAATATAATATTGAGGTATTATAAGATTGGACCATTGGTGGGACAATATTAACTCAAGATTGAGGTAGAGACTAGAGATTGAGATATCAATTTTGAGCTTTGAATTTTATCGAAATCAATTAGAAGAGAAGTTAATTTTGGTTTCCTTCCTTTGGTTAGATTTTAATTTCGCGCCGGTGTGATTCTATGACGCGTACGACAGAGGGCGACAAAGATCGTTGCTCATAATCGAAATGTAATTAAAAGGGTACAGGTAACTGCATATATGCTGTACTTCCGGTTTGCATATCTTTTTGAAAGCAGTGGCATTTCTATCACAATATTATTCGTTCGCGACTATGATAAATAAATTTGACACGAACTAATAACATAATGGTAGAAATGCCAGAGCTTTCAAAACATATGCAAACCGGAAGGGCAGCATATAAGCAGTTATTAATTACTAATTAATAACTACGAATATTAATATTATTATATATTTTATCTATTTATTATTATTACTCTGAATTGTAATTATTATTATTTGCTTTATAGTTATATACAGCTATAAAAAGAAATAAACTTATTTTTATTATTATTATTTTATTTCTAACAATTTATATTCTTTCTATTATAATTATTTATTATTACTTAATTATGAATATTAAAATTAGAAATTAATTAAAATAAATAGAATCTTGTGGAAGTTTCTTACACCCCCCGTGCACTGAATCTCGATTATGAGCAACGATCTTTGTCGCCCTCTGTAGGAGGCGTCATTGAATTACAATTGGCGCGAAATTCAAATCTAACGAAAGCAAGAAAACAAATTTGATCTCTTTATTAGTTAATTATTAATATTAATACTCATTATTAATTAATTAATTAATTAGGTAAATTTTATTCATGTTCAAAAATTGTTTTTTGAAAATTTTATTCTTGATCAAAATTGTTTTATTGAAAATTCTATTCTTGATCAAAATTTCTTTTTTGAAAATATATTCTTGGAGAAAAATTATTTTTCGAAAATTATAATTTTGAGTCAATATTGAAATAACAATTGAGCCTTGGAATACCTAATATATAATCGAAAGTATTGGGAACAGTTTGAAGTAAATAATTTTTCTTCTTTATGAAACAATTGTTCCCTAACAAAAAGTGTTTGAACTTTTCTGCTAAATAGCAAAAGAATACAAAAAGTATTTGAAAGGGGAATTTTTTTTCTAAATAGCAAAAAAATTCCTCTTACAAATACTTTTTGTTTTTTTTTTTTTTTGCTCTTGGAAATACTTTTTTGTTTGGGAACAATTGTTTCGTTTATATTGTCCAGTATTAATTATTTAATCAATGGAATAATATCGTGTATGAGTTGATTGCAATTATATATTTTAGTTACATAAATAAGGGGACACACACACGTGTGGGTGTAGCGCTAGAAACGGAGTAGTTTCCATATTGCTTGTTTAGGGCTGATTACTATAAGGTTCAATAGTTCAAATTAGCTGCCGTGATGTCATTATATCCGTAGTTAAATGCGTGTCAGGTTATTGCAAACTATTTGGTTATGAGAATCATAATAGACTGATTATTGTTGACCAAATTACATACATGCAGTATAAATTATGGTCTGGTTTTCAATTGAAGGATACCTAATAAAATGACACGCAATGTTATTATAAGAACGTTATTTCTATTTGATAAAATTCATTCTATGAAAATAAATCTATTTTACTGTACGATAGGATATTTTTGTTACTGTATTTTTTTTAAATTTTAATATTTTTTTTAAAATTATATTATTTTAATATTTAGATATTTCGGTATTTTATTTTAGTAGTTCAGTATTTTTAGTAGGTATTTCATTTCAGTAGTTCAGTACATTTAGCAGGTATTTTATTTTAGTAAAATTTTTTACTATTCTATCATTTTTTTATTAAATATTTTATTTTAGTCTTTTAGTATTTTCAGCGCGTACTTTATTTCAGATTTTTAAAATGTTTTTTCCAGTCTTTTTAGTAGGTTTTTATTTTTAAATATTTTTACTATTTTAGTATTTTTTATTTGATATTTTATTTCAGTCTTTTTATATTTTTAAAAACATTTCATTTTACTATCTCTATTTTAGTATATTTAAAGTATTTTTTATTAGGTTTTTTAATTTAATAATATTTTACAATAAGTATTTTCTGTTACATATTCTTTTTTTTTCTTTTAATATTTTTTAGTAAGTACTTTGATTTAGTATTTTTTATTTGATTTTTGATATTTTTATTGGATTTTTAGTATTTATTAATATATTTTTAGTAGGTATTTAAATTTAGTCTTTTAGCAAGTACATTATTTGAGTACTTTTCATTTGATTCTTGCCAGTTTTCATATATTTTTGGTATTTATTATTTGATTTTAAGTATTTATTGAAGTATTTTAGAAGATAATTTAATGTAATAATTTTGCAGTTTTTAATAAATTTAAATAGTTTTTTAGTATTTCTATATTTTTTATTGTATTTTGTTCTAGTATTTGTTTTTCAGAATATTTTTGGTGGATTTCTTAATAATCTTGAAAAGTTTCCAGTAGTTTTTTTTAGTATTATTTAATTATTTTAAGTATTTTTTAGTATATTCAATATTTCTTGGTAAAACATAATTTTTTTTAGTATTTTAATATTTTTAGTAGGTACTTTACTTAAGTAACTTTTGTATGATTTTTTGTATTTTTAAAAGTATGTTTCAGTAGGTATTTTATTTAAGTATTTTTTTACTATTTTAGTATTTCTTATTAGATTTTTTAATATCGACTTTTAATATTTTTAGTAGATACTTTATTGTAGTATTTTTTATTTTTAGTAATTTTTAATAATTTTGAGTAGTTTTCATAATAGTCTTGAGTAATTTTTAGCAGTTTCTTAGTATTATTTTAAGTATTTTTTTAGTATTTCAATATTTTTTTAGCAAATATTTTATTTTAGTATTTTTTTTTACTATTTTAGTATTTTTAATTAGATATTTTATTTTAGTATTTTTAGTAGGTATTTGCTTTTAGTATTTTGTTTAGATATTGTATTTTAGTCTATTATTATTTTTATAGTAGGTATTATATTTTAGTATTTTTTTAATTTTTAGTAGCTTTTAATAATTTTGAGTAGTTTTCTTAATAGTTTTTAGTAATTTTTAGCAGTTTGATAGTAATATTTTAAGTATTTTTTTGGAAGCAGATATTTTTTTTAGTAGTTTATCAGCAGTTTTGATAAATTTTTTACACTGAAAAAAAAATTTATTTGATTCAAATAACCGATTAATTGACTATTATCAATTAAATATTTAAATGAATCAAATAATATTTATTGGAATCAATTAAATGGTATTTGAATGAATAATTTCAGTATTTGAAGCAAATACCATTTAATTGACTCCAATAAATATTACTTGATTCAAGTAAATATTTAATTGATAATAGTCAATTAATCGGTTATTTGAATCAATTAAATTTTTTTTCAGTGTAGTAGTATTAGTAGTATATTTTTTTAGAATTTCAATATTTTATGATCCTAAAGTTCTGAACGTTCAAATGAACGAAATTTATTTATTGTCTTCTTTAATTTAAATATTTATTACAATAATTTTTTGTCGATATAAAATAAATGAAATATAAAGTTTCTAAGTGTGAAATTTAAGTTTTTAATTTTTATTGCAAACAATAAATTATAAAAACATTTCTAATAAAAAGTGTTTCGTTCATTTGAACGTTCAAAACTTGTGGATCATAATATTTTATGTAGCAGGTATTTTATTAGTTTTTTACTAACTTTTTAATAGTTTTTAGTATTCTTTAAAATATTTGGTAGTATTTTTTAATGGTAGTTTTTAGTATTTTGTAAAATAGTCTTTAGTATTTTTTAAAAGTTCTTCGTATCTTTTTGAATACTTTTTAGTAATTTTTAAAATAGTTTTCAGTACTTTTTGAAATATTTTTTATCATTTTAGTATTTTTTAAAATTCCTTTTAGTATTTTTCTTCTTATTATTTATTTATTATTATTACTTATTTAAAAAATATCAAATATGAAATGAAAAATACTAAAATAATACTTTTCTCAGTTCCTACTTAATTTTCAATTTATTTTAAGTTTTATTACAATTCTATCGTCATGATTTCGTATAAAATGAACCCATTTTATCCACAAGTTTTTAAAAACTTCTTTTTTCCTATAAATATAATTATGATAGAGTTTTTTCCAGATTTAGAAAACTGTTTTTTTTAAGAGCAGGTGTTAAAAAAAGTTGTCGAATGAAGTATATAAGTATCCGTAAAACAATACTTCTGGAATATCCCATTTAATGTTTTATATCATTTCCTGTATATTTCTCGGATTGAAGTTTCAATTGAATTTCTGAAAGTTATTGGAAAACAATAATGAGCTTTTGTAATAGTGTTACTCAAAATTTGATTTGTCTACGCACTATGGGGATAGTTTGTATTCTTCTTTTTTTTCTGTGTTATTAAATTACCGGACGATAAATGAACTCGATACTTGTATTATTGGAAAAAAAGGATTTCTTCCTCTTCTTCGAATTTTGTTTTGGAAAATACTTTCTAATAACTTTAGAGAAAGAAGTAAAACTATTAATCAAACTTCTTGATTTCATTTATTCGATTGTAGAATAATGTTCGCAAGTTGTTTTTTATTATTTTTTCGTTATTATTTCTTTATTATTTTTTAATTATTTTCTTATTAATGTTTTGTTATTTCGTTGGTATTATTTCTTTATTATCTATTTTATTAATTTTTTATTATTCTTTTGTTATTTTTTTATTAATTATTATATTTCGGTTCTTTCTTATTTGTTTGCTACTTTTTTTTATTATTGTACAATTTGAAATCAAAATTCGGTGAATATTTTTAGAATATTTGTGATTAATTTTTTTCTAAAGAGGGAAAATAATCAATGGTCTGAATTTTTGTGAAAGCTCAATAAGTTTCTTTTTATCAATAAAATATATATTTCCGGGTTTGTTTTTTCTCTTTCATATATAAGCGTTTTGCTGTGCTTTGGATTTCAGGTAGTGATTTACTATTTCCTTTTTGAAGAAAATGCGGTGTGTTTAAGAGTGATTTTACGAGCAAACGTTTGATTTATTTTTATAGCCAAGTTGGTGATATAATATTGAGCTAGGCTCAAAATGCTTCTCTTTAGCAAAGTTGTTTGAAAAAAGAAAGGAAATATTTTTATATAAATAGCCGAAAAATCTTGTTCATTTCTAATGAAAATATTCTGTCCATAAAAAATATTTTTTGTTTCTTATTTTTCCCTTTGTTTTTATATTCTCATTTTTTATTTAACTTATTTTTTAATTTTTTTACTTACATTTTTATTTATTAATTATTTTTGCTATTTTTATTTATTATTTATTTTATTTATTAACTTTTTATTTGACTTTTTTTTATCGATTTTATAATTTTTTAAATTGTGAAACTTTTTTTCGTTCTGCTTATTTGATTTCTATTTTGCTTTCAAGAGATATATAGAATTTTGATAAATGAAAATAAAATTTATATTATATTTATAACATATTCACACTATGTCGAGTGTTTATTTCACAATTTATGACATGGAAGAAAAAAATTATTCCTGTGCCAACGGATGTTTGCGACAGTCAGAAATTCAAAATTAGGAGAGAGAGAAAAAAGTATTAGAGCGTGAGGAAATACAATTATTTGATTAATTTATAGAGGAAGTTATTTTTTTTCTGAAAAAATGTTAATCTGTAGGAATAAATTAGTTTTTCGTTAAATTAATTTTTTATCTTTGTTTATTGTATTTAGAATATTTTTCGAAATAGGAATATTTTAAAAAAGTTGATATTAATTAATTAAATTTAATATTTAATTATTAACAAGCGTCGACACTAAAACTTCAGGGACATAATAATAGTAATTATTGAACTAATTAATTTAATTTACCGTCGGGTCAACAATAGAAAATATATTTGGAAAATATTTTAAATATAAAATATTTGTTATTTTCTATAAAATATAAAATGCTAAAAATATTTTGAAAGCAATTCATCTAATTCATGGAAATGAACATATACGAATTTTATGCGACTTTTATAATTAATAGTCTTTTGCGAATAACGCAATTTGCCGGGAATTATAATAATTTAAAAACACGCTTGAAAATTAATAATCTTCTCATTAATGATGATAATCCAACTTTACAACATGTATGTAAGGTCATATCTCGTATAAATTTGGTTGACTTCCAAATAATTTGATCACATGCCAAACAATTTGCAATTCCTTATTAAATGCGATTATCCCTTTTGTTAACTCTTTTCAATTAGAGAATAATTATTCTTTCATTAACGGAGTTTTTTTTAATTTTTTTAATTTGCAGATGTATTTTTTTTTTTTTTACTTTGCTCGTTAAAAAACTCTTCTTTTTTTTAATTTGCAAAAGATTTTTTTTTATTTGTAGAAGAATTTTTTTGCTAACTTCTGTTTTTTTTAAATTGCAAAAGAATTTTTTTTTGTTTACAATATGATACTTTTTGTTTGCAATTGAATTCTTTTTATTTGCAAACAAGGTATTTTTGATCCCAAACAAATTTTTTTTTTGCAAAAGAATTTTTTTCGTTTACAATGGAATTACTTTGTTAGCAAATAAGAATTTTTGTTTGCAATATAATTTTTTTATTAGCAAACGAATTTTTTTGTTAATATTAGAATTCTTTGGGATAAAAACGAATTTTTTTTGTTCAAAAAAGTTATTTTTTGTTTGCAAAAGAAATTTTTTTGTTTAGAAAAGAATTACTTTGTTTGCAAAAGAATTGTTTTGTTGGCAAAATGATTTTTTGTTCACAATAAGAATTTTTCCTTTCTCGTCTAGAAAAGAATTTTTTCCTCAAATCAAAAATTTCCTTTCAAAAACTTGAAACGAAAAATTTAATTCAATTGAAACTTTCATTGAAAGTTTGGAAAGGGATATTTTCTATTTTCAATTGACTAATTCTCGTAAAGGAGTAAATTTCATTGTCTTGGAAATAATATTAGATTTCTTTGTATATAGAATCTCAGGGGTAATTTTGGTGTGAATTGTTCACCTTCACACACAGACATAGAAACATTTTTGTGCGATAAGAGTTTTACCCTTGTCGACCGTTTCGTCTCGAGGAAAAGTGGAGAAAATTGAGTTTTGCCTTTTTTTCGATAAGAAAAAATGAGTTGGAAAGTAAAAATTGAAAAAGTCGAAATGAGAATTATTTATTTTTTTGTGAAAATGTATATTTAATGGAATGTGAATTTTGCAGACCTTATCAGAAAAAATCACCTACACCAAGTGGTGGTGGAGGAAGTAGATCCGGTTGGCGTTCACGAAGAAGTGTTACAACTGCAGGTGCACCAGCGCATCAACATCACGTAATTGCAACTGCTTCCGCAACGGCTCAGGCCAGGATGCAGGCCGAGCAAGGAAGCATTGGCGAACTCAGAGGATATCATAATCTACGTTCCCGGCGGCATACTTTGGCGAATGTTCGGTGAGTCTTTGTTATCTTTTTTTTTCTTTTGCTGCTACTTTAGAATGTGGAATTTTTTTTATAAAAAAACATTTGCTATGAGAAAGAAAATTATTATTTTGAACACAGAGAGTAGTTTTTATTAGTGTTAAATTTTTCGTTTTTTTTAATTTCGCGCCAGTGTAGTTCATTAAATTGCCGCCTAGACGGCATGAAAATTTGCTCACAAACGAAGTGAAGCAAATCATATAATGCCTATGATGAAAAATAGTTTTGTTTCCGTTATAAAATAAATAATATTATAATATTATATTAGAATATTATATTATAATGTTATTATAAATTGCAATTTATAAATAAATTGTAAATTCTTATTAATGGATAAAATTAAAGAAAATAAAGTTGGGGAAAAATAGATTATTTTATTTACATATTTTATACTAATCTATATTGTTTTCTTTTTTGCGTTTATTTATTTATAGAAATTGTTAATTGCTTTTTTTTATTTACTTTTACTGATTTTCATTTATTTTATTTATTTCATCGTCGTAAAAATTATTAAATAATTAGGAATACAAATAAATATTTTTTCGACAATTTTATTATTTTCTATTATTATCAACTGAATAATAAATAAATTTTTTGCAATCTACCATTTTCCTTAACGATTGTGAATTGAAATTATTTATTATTTAAATGAGCCTCCATATTGACACTATGTACAATTTGTTTCAATAATTAGTCATTGAAATTATATCTATTTACCTTTAATAGATACAATTAATTTGGTTTATCAATAACAGATCTTTAAACTAACATTTATTATTATTAATTGTTAACTTAATATTTAATATAATAATTATATAATTACATAATAAGTTAAAATTATATAATAATAATTTAAAGATTTAAATAAATTAATAATGTATTTATTAATTAATAATTCATTAGTTTATTTATTTTTTTCTCATTCATAACATTATTATTCCAAAGTTTTATTTGTTTAATCATTTTTTGAATCTAAATAATTAAAAGTATCAATATAACTTCTATTTAAAACCAATTGAAACGTAAAAGTTTATATTTCAATTAGAAAATATTTTTATTATAAATAATTTAAGTTTGATATTTTTTCTAAGTTAGAAATAATTGTTACTACAATTGTTTTAAATTAGAATTGATTACTTATCAATGCAATTATTTTTAATTCTAATGAATTGTAACTACAATTATTTTGATAATTTTGAAATTAATTTAAAATACAGTTGATTTAAATTAGCAGTAATTGAATTTTCAATATATTTCTACTGTAAATAATATAATCTTTAATTTATTTCAATTGAAAATAATTGAATCTTCATTTTATTCATTTTATTAATTGAAATAAGTACAATTGATTTCAATTGGATATAATTAAAATTATAATTAATTTCAATTGCAAATAATTTAAATTACAATTGATTTCAATTGAAAATAATTGAAAAATCAATTAATTTCAATTATAAATAATTGAAATTACAATTGATTTGAATTGAAAAGAATAGAAATTACAATTTATTTTAATTGAAAATAAGTGAAATTACAATTTATTTCAATTATGAATATTTAAATCTACCTTTGGTTTCAAGTATACTAATTTAAACTACAATTAACTTAAATTATAAATAATTAAAATTAATATTTTTTAGTAAAAAATAATTTCGCTTTTTAACTGGAAGTAATTGACATTACAAATATTTTTAATAAAAAGTAATTGAAACTACTTTTATTTACGCAGTTATAATTTATTAAAAGAACTAATATACAAATTGTTTCAAAACTAAAAAAAAATTAAATTCACATTTTATCTGATACTACAATTACATACATTTTTAATTATCGAACTCCAAATAGAGTGCGTTTTAGTACTAATTCCTAAAATTTTTTTTTAGACCATTTTTTTAGACTTATTTAAATATTTTTCAAGTACTATCTTATTAGTTTATGTTTATTCTTTTCTGTACAATTTTTTCGAGTTCTTTTTAAAGCAATTTTTTTTTAAATTACATTTTTACTTAGTCCATATCCTTGTTCAATTTTCTGAGTAATTTTCAAAATTCCTTTTTCTTAATATGCATTTAATATTTTTTATATAGGTATTTTTTATATTCAATTTTTTAATTTATTTCATAAATTAATTTTATAAATTAATTTTTTAAATTCACTTGATAAATTTGTTGTTTTAAATTTACTTTAAACATTTATTTTTTGAATTCACTTTATAATATTTTTTAAATTCACTTTATAAATTTTTTTTAAAATACATTTTATAAATTTAGTTTTTAAATTTATTTTTAAGCTCCTTGTTTGTTTTCTTAATTTAAAAAATGTCTTCCAAGCTTATTTTTGCACAATTTATTTTCTTGAGTTTCCCTTATCTTCTTTTTCAAATTCTTTTTTTTAAATTTCTTTTTATTACTTTTTATTTCTTTTGATATTTTGAAAAATGGTTTTTTTTTATAAATGTAGTTGTATAATATTTTGTAATTGTATTTGTTTTACCATTTTTTTGAAATTAATTTTTTACTATTAAATTTTTACAAGTTACAATATGGACGACGTGGGAGGGTTGATAAATTTCACTTCAATTTGTAATTTGTAGACTTTATTCACCTTCAAGTTGTCTTATTCATTGTGCGCTTAATCTGAATCGTCACAGTGACAGCTGCGGTTTTTCTCAATTTTAAATTGCTTTTCTCCTTCTGATAACTTCTTGCCACTCGTTGAATTACTTTTTTCACATATACAATCAGAATCAATATCGGAAAAAATTAAATTTCCACTTCTCTTTTTATTAATATTTTTCACTTTGTTCTGATTATTAATATTCTTATTGTTGCCTTGAATATTAATGTTTCTGTTACTGCTTTGATTATTATTTTTGTTACTTTGGATATTGTTTTTATTACTTTGAACATTATTTTTATAACTTTGAACATTGTTTTTATTACTATTTTGAATATTATTTCGAAAACTATTATTTTTGTTACTATTTTGAATATCAATAGTTTTAGTGTTGTTTTCTCGATTACATTCCTGGGAACATTGAATAATTTTTCCTTGAGGCTTCTTTACTTTTGACTTTTGCCTTTTATCACCCGAGTTGTTTTTATTCTTAATTAATTTTTCAAGACAGTTCGGGTCACTTTTTTCAAACGTTGGCGTGTAAAACTTTTTATTAAAGTGCAAATTAATCATCGTCGTCGTTCTCGTCACATCATCATCATCATCATCATCATGATTCTCAATAGTTTCTCGTGAAATTGATTTAGCAAAGGCCTTGCCACGGTAAAATTGTTTTCCCACTTCGCGTTTCTCAATTGTTTCCTCTGTTTGAAATTTCGAATTAGAATTTTCCTGCCGTCGCCTGCAACTACAACATGTATTGATTTCTGATTGGAAACCTATTAGTTTCTGTGTTAATGTTGATGCTTGAATGTGACAAAAACTTCCATTGTCAATGACATCGTTGCTGCTAATATTTGTTGAAATGAATTTTTTACATATGTCACATGTGAATTCTTTTGCTTTGAGATTTCTTTCTTCTTTCCTCGTGTCACTTGATTTATTATTTATATTTAACGAGGACATAAACCCTTGTTGGTTGCTTTTTATTTCTCCCTTGTGAGTTGATTGTTTACGAATTTTTTTCCTCTCTGTTTGCTGTCCAACACTTACTACAGTCCCTGTTGATTCATCTTTTACTTTAATTACTGACAATTTTTTTCTGTTTTTTGATAATTCAGAGTTTTCTCCTTGAGAGTTTTGAGAAATTTGGTCAGATCTTTTGGACATTGATCCTCTCACGATGTAGCATGTAATTTTTGGACGGAGTTTTGATGGTCTCTTGGATTTCTGTTTTGATAAGATTTGAAAATTTTAGTAGAATTTTGGAAAAAATTAGATAATTTTTGTTAGTAGTAAAATAAATAATAAAGTAATAAATATAGGTAGAGGATGGTAAAAAGGCCATTTGGGTTTTAATAATAAATAAATAAATTTTTTTTTTGTGAAGTTTTCTTCATATTTGAAATTAATAGTTAATTTTTTCTCGGGAGAAAGTAATTTTTTAATATTTAAAAATAATACTTGCCCCGTTTGAACAAATGCATATTGATTCTTGGCTTTCATCTGCTTTATCTCTCAGTGTTATTTTTGTATCTATTGATTCTGATTTCGTCTCTCTTGGTTTATCCTGAAATTTCAGTTAAATATTTGTCAATCAATATATTATTTTTCAATTTTGAAAATGTCATTAATTTTTAAGTTCCATTGGAGTTTTATTTTTTAATTGCCGACGAGTATTTTTAGTTTTATACAAGAGAAAAGAATAAAGGAACTTTTACTATATTTTTATATAGTAAAACCTAAATTTTCTCTAAAATTTCTACAAACTTCTGAGGCAACTTTAACTATTTTGTAAAAGTAATTTTACTATTTTTTCTATTATTAGCTTCGAAATACTTTGAAATTATTTAAACTACTAATCTCAGTGTAAATTTTACTTTTTCCGAACTAAATTTTAGTAACTACAAAAATTTACTCCAGAATTAGTAAAATTTGCTAGAAATGTGCAAAAAAGTGGAGAAACTAATGAAAATTAATTTTAAATAGAAATTTTACAATTTACTCGAGAATTAGTAAAAATTGTGCTAAAATGAACGAAATTTTACTATTTCCACAGTTAATTTTTAGATAAAGGTTTTCAAATTTTCTTTGAATACATAGTTTAATTTGTTATTAAATATTAGGCATTATTTGCAGAATAAATTTTACTATTTTTAAAGTAAATTTTTCTAATTCTTTATATAGAAATTTTCTTCAAAAACAGTAAAATTTATTCTGAAACTAATGATTTTTAATAGTAAACTTTACTATTCTTAGAGGAATTTTTGTTTAAGTCCGAAGTAAATTTGACTAAATTTGGCTAAAATTTAAGTTACTTTTAAAGTAAATTTTTCAGATTCTTATAAAAAAAATTTCTTCAGAAATAGTAAAATTTATTCTAAAAATAACAATTTTTAGTAGTAAATTTTACTAATCTAGAAATAAATTTTATTGATTTCAATGTAAATTTTAATTTTCTCGAACTAAATTTTAGTATAAAAACGAGTAATGTATAAAGATTTACTCCAGAATTAGTAAAATTTGTTAAAAATGTGCAAAAAAGTGGAAAAACTAATGAAAATTAATTTTAAATAGAAATTTTACAATTTACTCGGGAATTAGTAAAAATTGTGCTAAAAGTGTAGAAAAATTATTTCTAAGTCCGAAGTAAATTTTACTAATTTTTACTAAATGTTTACTAATTTAATTCGGATATAATAACTATATGAAAAATAGCATTCATTGTCATCTCTAAAGTTATAATTGACAAATTTATAAATTATTAGTAATAAGTAGTTTTAATTTATTATTTAATAGAAATTACTATTTGTTTTCATTTTGTTATAATAATTCAAGTATAAAGTTTTTTTTTTTCTGTTTCAGGTGAGTTAAACAATTCTTTCCTGTCGAGTTTATTTCGTAAGTAAATATATATTAAAATGTGTATATTTATATAATTAAAATAATTATATAAATTATAATTATTATAATTAATAATTAAAAATAATTAAACCTGCTTAAATCCGTTTATGAGCTTTGCGTCGTAATATTAATTAGCAAAAAATTTTAAAAACAGACGTAAAATTACTTTAATAAAAAATAATAATTAATAAGAATAAATAAAATAATTATTAAAATAAAAAAAGTTAATTATAATTTTCAAAGGAATAATTAAAAATTCTTATTCATTTTTTTAACGAAAAATATCAGTTTAAAGTTGCTGCAGAATTGTGGAGAAATTCGAATTTGTTTAATAGAGTAAAAGTTGCTTTAAATTTTTTTTTCGCCGAGACAATTTAAGAAATTTGAAAAAAATAGAAGGAAATAGCAGAAGTAGTAAAAAAATAGAAAGGAAAAATATGGGGCCAATTTACCTCTGGTTTACAAATGCAATCCGAGTCAGTTTTAGCAATTTTTTTAAAAGCATTTTCTTCTGATCCGATCTTTTGAGTTTGGAGAGAAAGTTCCTTCTCTAAATCCTCTTTTACTGGCTTTTCCACAATAATTCCTGTGGATGACGTTACTGCTCCTTTGACAATTACCAGTTTTGCTTCTTCAGGTATCGATGGACCGGATTCTGTCATGATTTGTGATTTTTCTCTAGTAATCGCTTTTTTCGGTTCTTCCTCAATTTTTTCTTCCTGTTCTTTTTCGTCTTCTTTTTTCTCTTTTTCTTCATTTTCTTCTTCTTCTTTCTCTTCCTCTTTATCTTTCTCATCCGGGATTATTGGTTTTTCAGTGAACTCATCATTTTCACCTGCATTTGACAATTTATCTTCATTTTCGATGCTCTCTGATAAAACTTCTTTATCTTTACTTGAATGTTCCATTTCTTCTTCCTCATCATGTAATGATTTATCAGTTGAAACTAAATTCTCCTCTTTTTCTTTTTTGCGATCAGTTTCTTTTTCTCCATCACTAAATAATTCAGTTTTATCATTAGTCCTTTCTGTTTTTTCCTCATCTGTTACTAATTGTTGATGATATTCCACATCTTTTTTTTCAATTTTTTCCACTGAATTTCTTAATGCTGAGAGAGAATCGATTTTTGCTAATGGTTCCTCTAATTTCTCGGTAGGTGAAGTATCTTTTACACTCTGTTCCACTTTTTTCTGTGTCTCATTTTCATTGTCCGATTTTTGAGATTTCTGATCATAAACCTCTTCTATATCTTCCTTAATTTCTTCATCAAGTGCGATTTTTTCTGACTTTTCGATTTCTTTCGATAACTTCTCTTCGTTTTCAATGTTTTCTACCGTTTCTTCTAATTTTCCATTCGAAATTCTAAATTTTTTATCATAAATTATTGTTAGAGGTTCTTCTGATATTTCTATTTCTTTATCAGGTTCAGTTTCTTCTGCTAATTTTGGTTCCTTGTTCGATTGTTGTTCTTCAGTGTGTTTCAAATTTTCCTCAATGTTTTCAGCAGTCTTTTGCATATTTAGCGTTTCTGAAAGTATTTCCACTGTTTTTATTCTTTCATATTCTGTTACATCTTCTAATGGTATCTAAAATGATATCAGGATTAATAATTCAGTTCATTAATTATGGATAGCTATTTTACCTGCAGATAAGTTCTAATTGAATTGGCTAGTTTCTTAACGTCATTAGCATTTGGAGAGCATTTTGAGCAGTTCTGAAAAAAACGTGATAAATTATTATCTTGAGTTTGAATTTGAATCAACGAGCGAGCTAATTTCTTACTTACTTTTTTAAATAAAATAAGCAATTTCAAAAAATATTAGAATTTAAAAATTTTTTTCCTTTGCTTTCAAAAAACTTTGAATTTTACTAAAACAATTTAAGAAATAGAAATGATGGAAATTATTTCCTTATGAATTTTTAAACAAAAATTTATACTGACAGAAACTTGTGTGCATTTTTGGTAATTTTTACTATTTTCGGAGTAAAAGTTGGTACATTTTTGTGAAAATTAGTTTCGCAAAATTCAATTTTAAAATAATAGTAAAAGTTGCAACAAAAATTCGCAGAAGTTCCAGACAGTTTTATTAGTTTTATTTTTGTAATTAAAGACCCACCGCTATTGCTTTCTCAAAATCGGCTGTACTCTGTAGCCATGATTTTAGTTCTGCTTTTGGTACTGCAACGTCATCATGTTTTAGTTTCTGATCCGTTTTTCTTTCTTCTGCTCGAGGAACTTTTTTCGATTCTCCATCCTCTGATTCTTGAATGTTCGAAATTTGTTCGACTGATTCAATATTTGTTTCATCTGTTTTATTGATTCCTCCTGTGCAAATCACCTCTAAAGGTATTTGATCTTCATCCTTTGGAACTGGTTTTGATAGTTGAGTAAAAGATTCTTTGGCAACTAGTGTTCTGTTTAGATCATCATTTGCTTTATCATCTTTCTTATTTTTTTTATCTTCCTTATCATCTTTTAGTATCATTTCAGAAGTCGTAGATTGGAACTCATCATCGTCGTCGTCATCGATACCAGTTGGTGAGAAAACTTGATCATTGCAGATAAAATCGGCAGCACATGGTTCACCTTCAGAATCGGATGTGTCGAACGAGTGGTAATCTTGGTCCTCATCTCGATCTTTTACTTGGTCCTTACTTGCTATGTTGACCTTTTTTACTGATACGCATTTGGGTAGTCTTTCATCTCTACAGGAAAAGGGAATTTCTTTCGATGATGTCTTCTTATTTACGGATGTACAGTCTGACATTTTATTTGTAGATGTACATTTTGCCATCTTATTTGCAGATGGACATTTTGTCATTGTAGTTGCAGAAGCACATTTTTTCATTGTACTCGCCGAAGCACATTTTGTCACTGCATTTGCAGAAGAACACTTTGTCATTGTATTTGCAGAAGCACATCTTGTCATTGTATTTACAGATGTACATTTTGTCAACTTATCCCTAGAAGTTCCGATTTTTTTCGATGATGATTTCTGCATTGTCATTTGATCCTTACTGCTCGTATCAATTTTTCTTGTCGATACGGATCTTTCTAGTCTCTCGCCCCTACAATCTGTAGCAATATCCCTCAGAGATTTACATTTGTCTAGAGTCGTTTGATCCCGTTGGTTAATTTTCCTTGATGACAAACATTTATCCAACATTTCGTCGCGACAAGTGATTCCACTGATTTTCGACGAAGTGCCTATTTTCCTTGTGCTCTGTCCTTTGTTGCAATTCGTTTTCGATTGTTGCAATTCCCTGGATGAAGTATACTGATCGCAGGTACTTATTCTTGCGAGTGAAAATTTACTCTCAACATCAGCATTACAATTGTCCTCGCCGACAATTTTATCCCTACGCTGAATTTGTTCTTTTTTTAAAATTTGATTGCAGTTTGCTAATTTTTTGTTGAGTCTCTCAATAGTGTCCTCTAGACAACAAACTCTATTGGCTAATTGCTGATTGGCTGATGCTTTGAGTTGCAATTGCTCTTGCAAAGTACTCGTCGTAGTTGCAACATCGGTCTCCATCTTTGACCATAGTTCGTCAGCCTGTTGCAGTGTTCTCATATACGCCTCCTCTCGTCGTTCCAGTTCGGAGATATTTCGCTTCATGCAAAGTTCTGCCTCGGCGAGGTCTTGAATTCTCGTCAAGCACTCCAAGTCTGTTGATTTTACCGAAGTTGTGCTCGAAACATTGCCAAGCCATTGTTTGCATTTTATTTCTCCACATTCACCTAATGATGCGCTCTAATAAATTTACTTTGAGGCACTGATCAGTTATTGATATTTTTATTTTTCTACGTTTGGGAACAAATTTTTGAGAAACTATTCTTTAGAAATAATAATCTGAACAACTGCTATTTTTCACTAAATGATCAGTAGAAATAGTACTATTTGAATTAGTAACTGACTTTTTGCTTCTAAATCAGTAATTTTTAATTGATTGAAATTTAGAGAATAAATTTAAATTAATAAACATGTTTACTAATTGGAATTAGTGACTTACTTTTTGCTTTTGAATTAGTAAATTTTACTAATAAATGAGTAGAAATTACTATTTATTAGTAAAACTATTTACTATTTACTCATTCAAAAGCAAAAAGTCAGTCACTATTTTAAATTAGTAAACATTTTTATTAATTCACATTTAGAGAGTGAGAATCGTTCAAGTGAATGAAATATTTCCTTTCTACAAAATATTTTTAAAAATAATAAATAAATAATAGTTAATACTTAATAATAAGTAAATAATAAATAAAAAATAAACTAATAAAACATTTTAAAACTTATTCTAATAAATTTAAATTTAAAGTGGAATTAAATAAATGTCCTTCATTTGAGAGTTCACAACTTTAGGGACATAATTTTGTAAAATTTTATTGGAAATAATTAATTTTTTAAGAGGATTCTTATTTTAGAAGTAAAGAACTGAAGAGTTTCGAAATAATTAAAATTTTATTACATTTTTTTGAAAATAATTGACTTTTTAATAGTATTTCATTAAAATTTTGAAAAATAAATTTTAAAGAATTTTAATTTGCAAATTTTGAAAATAATTGAAATTCTCCAAAATTGTAATAAACAATCTTTAAATGAAAATTTAAAAATAAAAATTAATGGAAATTTGTTTCCAAAAATTATCTTGAAATATTTTTTAGAAAAGTAATTTTTTTCCATGATAATTTATTTAAAATTCAATTATTTTCAATATTTTTAATTTTCGAAATTGACAAATATCTAAAATTCAATTATTTTCAATTTCCGAAATTAAAAACTTAATGAAAAAAATTAGTTGAATTAAATTTAAATACAAATTTTTAATTAAAAATTTAAAATGAAACTTAAATGAGTAAAAAAAAAATTCAACGATTTACAGAAATTAATTGCATTAAAATTTTTTAAGAAATCTAATGTTTTAGAATTATTTTTAAAATTTTGTAAAAATCTAACCATTTTCAAATTTTTTACTAAAAATCTCTTTAAATAATTCTCTATTTTTCTTGAATTATCGAAAAAATTTTTAAAGAAATTCATTTACTTTCGAATAATTGCATTCGAATATTTTTATTAAACTAATTCTTAGAATTTTTGCAGTACAATTTTATAAAATTCAATTATCTTCAAAAAAAGGTAATTTAAATTTTTCAAAAAACGAATTTTTTTTAGATTTATTAAACTTTTTGGAGAAGTAACGTATTTTCATGTTTTTAATTAATATTCTTTATAAACTTGATTATTTTTTATTAATTTCCAAAAATTTAATTATTTTCACAAATTTTTGACTAATTTATAATTATTAGGAATTTATATAATCAAGAGATGAATTATTTTTCAAAATATATTTTGATATATTTTCAAAAAACTAATTTTAAGAATTTTTTTATTATAATTTTTTAAAAATTAATTGTTTTTAACTTTTTAATATAGTTTTTGTCACATGTTTTGAATCATATTTTGAGCTTCACCAAAATATCTTTAGACAAAAACCGATCAGAGATTTAGTTACTTTGGTAGTTATCAAAGAATACTTTAGTAATTATCAAGGAATACTTTAGTAGTTTTCATAGAATAATTTAGTATTTATTAACAAATAATTTAGTGGATATAAAAGAATACTTTAGTAGTTATTAAAGAAATAATTAACGAATAATTAAGTGGTTATAAAATAATACTTTAGTAGTTATCAAAAAGTAGTAGTTATCAAAGAATAATTTAATGTTTGTTGAAGAATACTTTAGTGGTTATAAAAGAATACTTTAGTATTTATCAAAAAGTAATAGCTGTTAAAGTAGTTTTCAAAAAATACTTTAGTATTTGGTAAATAATAGTTTAGTTAAGTAGTTATAAAAGAATACTTTAGTGGTTATAAAAAATACTTTAATAGTAGTTGTCAAAGAATAATTTAGTAGTCATCAAAGAATACTTTAGTAGATATAAGAGAGTCAAAGACAGTATTGTCAAAGAATACTTTATTATTATTCATAAAAAATACTATAGTAGTTAGCAAAAAATACTTTAGTAGTTATTAAAGAATGAAAATAAATTTTTGGACAAAGAATGCTTTATTTTAGCAAATGAGTTATAAAAGAAAACCAGTAATACTTATCAGAGAGTACTTTAGTAACCATCAAAGATTACTTCAATAGAATTTTTAAAAAGCAATTAGCCTTTAGAGGTAAATATTAATAGTAAAAAAATGTATAATTCACAAACTCTTTAGGAGAAAAAATTAATTAAATTTTTATAAAGGCGAAAAAAAGGAAATAACTCTCACCAGTTTGACATGAATCGCCATCAGCATCTTTTTCCCGTGCCTTCTGCACCCTTAATTCTTGTACTTCGGCTTTAAGTTTTTCAATTCGTTCTCTGTGTTCATCCTGTGTTTTCTTGGCTTCCTCGAGTTTTCGTTTTTGTTCGCCTAAAGCAAATTCTTTCTCGGACCAAAGAGCACGAGCTTCATTAATTCGACGTTGGGCACATTTTCTCTCCGCCTCAATTTGACGTACACGACAATCATAATGTTGACTGTTCGTTGTTTTTGGACATTTAGTGTGTAAATTTTCAAATTGCTTTGCAATTAATTGTTTCATATTTGGAATTTCAGCGTTTTGTGACATTCGCCAAATATTCCAAATCATTACCGCCGGCATTGAACACTCGAGAATCTCAAGACGCTGTCGTAAATTTCCCTCTCTCTCCTCTAATTTCTCATTCTTGATCGAATGCAATTCGATCATTTCCCGAAAATGCTTTTGACAACGTCTTGAATCACGATTACGTGATTTACACGAGCTTCGTGGAAAATGAGGAGGTGGAATATTCATTTTCGTCACGTCATGTTTCATGATAATTATTGACTCGTCTCCGTCTTTTTTCTTTATTGAATCAATTTTTTTCATTTCAATATTTCCATCTCCAATTTCGATATTTTCTAAATCGATATTTTCTGTTACCTTTTTTATTGAATTTTGAGACGATAATAATGATGTTGGTGATGATATAACTTGTTGCTCCTGTTTTGGATGTGATTGGAAAATTATTATCTGAATGGATATCTAATTTAATGACAAGACTTAATATTCGAATTAATATTTGAATTGACCTCTGGCTTCATCTCCTGTTTATTGCCCGTTGAGTCCTCCTCAGTTGTTTCCCCCTCATCGTCCATATTAATTAACGACGATCAAATGGTAAATAATTATTTAAAGGTTAATTATTAATGGTGCATGAAGAGAAGAAAAATTTTGTTTCAAATAAAATTTAATTATATTCAAATATAAGTCCCTCTTTTTTAAAATGTTGATTTAAAATTTTTTCCTCCAATCGTTAAGAACATTGTTTATGTTTATTTTTCAGTTTTTCACTGGTTAATTTGACGTTAAATTTATATAACCCTATGAAAATTTAATGTGAAAAAGGTGAATTTTAATTGGAAACAGTGAAGTTGGAGTTGAGTGAATTTTTAAGGGTTCATTTATTTTTATTTTTTTCAAAGTCATTAGGATTTCATTTCTGGTTTAATAAAACTTTTGGTATTTTAATTTTATTATGAGTAAAATATATAAATAAACTATTTATGCGTAACAAATTAAATTACAACAAATTAAACATGAAATTAATAACAAATTTATTAATAAAAATTGAATTACAATATGAAGTTTTACGAAAATTAGAATTTTTCTGTTATTTATTTATAAAATTTCTCAAAAAAATTCAATTATTTTAAATAAATTTTAATAAAGTTCTGTATAAGAAATTAGGAATTAAATATTTTCAATACAATTTTAATTAAATTAGTCGAAAAAATAAGAAGTCAATTATTTTAATAAATTATAAGTCTTTGGAGAAATTCAATTATAATAAATTTCCTCCAAAGAATTGCATGTTTTTTGATTTTAATAAATTCTTTGCGAAAATTCAATTATTTTCATAAATAATACAAATCGTCAGAGGAATTTTTAATTATTTTTTAACGTATTTTTAAAATTCAAAAATTTTAATAACAATCTTTACACGAGTTTGAAAATTTTCAAAAAATTTTATAACATTCTTTGCATAATTTCAATTATTTATTTATTTTAAATGCAATTTTAAGAAAATTTCTCGAAAGAATTAAATTATTTTTAATAAATTTTAATTGAATTCTGTATAAGAATGGACATTTTTTCAATATAATTTTGATAAAATTCGCATCGAAAAAATGTGCAAGAAGTCAATTATTTTTAAAATTTGAATAAATTCTGCGCGAAAATTCAATTATTTTTCTAAATAATAACATTTTTTAGATGAGTTCAATTATTTTTAATGTAATTCTAATAGAATTCTTGTCAGAAATTTAATTTTTTTCATAAATAATTAAATTCTTTCAAGGAATTTTCAATTGCTTTCAAACATTTTTATAAAATTCTTCAAAACAATTCAATTATTTTTAAAAATTTTAATGAAAATCTTTACACGAATTCGATTAATTTCATAAATATTGGAAAAATTCTTTGCAGAAATTCAATTATTTTAAATAAGTTTTAATAAAATTCAGTATAAGAATTGCATTATTTTCAATTCAATTTTAATTAAATTCGTTGCAAAAATGGACAAGAAGTCATTTATTTTAATAAATAATAAAAGTCTTCGCAAGAATTCAATTAAATAATAAAATTTCTCGAAAGAATTCAATTTCTTTTTAAGTTTTAACGAAATCCTTCGCGAATAATCAATTATTTTCATAAATAATAAATTTGTTTAGATGAATACAATTATTTTGAATACAATTCTAATAAAATTCTTCGCAGAAACATTTATGGAAAGGAGTTAATTTTTGCAATTAACAAAAAAAAATTGTCTACTAAAATTCATATTTTAACGAAATATTAAAAAAATTGTATTTCATTTGAACGTTTGAAACTTTAGGAACATTTTTTACGTTGGTGAAGTTCACAACGCTTATAATAAACAATTAATTATAAACAAATTTTTTCTATTCAAATCTTTGGCTAATAAATTTTTGGAGCAATATTTCTTCATCTACAATTCAAAAGACAAAAATTTATCAACAAAAAATATTGTTCTTCTGAGTGAAATTATTTTTTTCTTACAATCGAATTGAATCATAAACGTTGTTGACTTCACCGACGTCATTTTTTGTAACAACCCTGAATTTAAGTTAATATTTTAAATAATAATAATAGAACTAAAATAATAATGAGCAACAATTCGCGCGCGGCTAAGCTTTTACTCACTTTTTTTAATAAAATTAGCAATTTAAAAAAAATAGAACGTAAAAATTTTTAATTCAAATTTATTTTTATAAAAGTAAAATATAAATTGGAATATAGTTTTAATATTATTATAACTATAATATCATATATTCTGACACAGGGAATTAAGAGAAATGTCAGGGATTTTTATTAAAAGCATTGAAAAAAGTTAAATTTTCAGAATTCATAAGAAAATTCTGAATTTTTGTGTCTTTTTTGTTTGCCTCATAAACTACCACACTTATAATATAAAACCTTCAATTTTATCAATTTCTGAAAATAATTTCTTTTTAAGTAACTTAAATCTTGAACAACTATCATAAAATAATGATTTATAAATTATTAAATGTATAATTTTACTTAAATATTTCAAAATTAATTCAATTTTAAAAGAGTTGCTATTATAATTTTCATAAATAAGTGAACTTCAATCGGTTTCAATTTGAAATTTTATAAAATTTCAATTTTAAATGAATTTAATTATAGAAATTTTAAAGAACTTAGGTTTTTGAAAAATTTTAAAAATTCAAATTCTTCTGAAATTAGTTAAAAATTTTTAATATATAGGTATTTAATTAATTATTAAAAATAATGTATTTATTTAAGAATTTTAGTTAAAAACACTATAAAAATTGAATTTTGAAGAAGTTACAAATGATTGCAGAAATTCAAACATTCAAAAATAATAAAATTCTTATCACAAAATTTAATTATGTTCAAAATTGAAAAAAAATCTAGTCAAAATCCCAATTATCTTTATAAATAATAAAATTCTTCTTCAAAATTCAATTATTTTCAGAAATTTTAATAAAATTCTTGTCAAAATTTCAATTATTTTCAAAAAATTTCCTCAATTTAATGATTTTTAATATCCATTTTAATAACATTTTCCAAAAGAATTCAATTATTTAAAAAAAAAGTTTAATATAATTGTACGCAAACATTTAATTATATTCATAAATAAATAAAAATTCCACAGGAATTCAATTATTGACAAATTTTTTATAAATTTCTTCTCAATAATTCAATTGTTTTCATAAATAATAAAATTTTCACAGGAATTCAATTATTTTTATAAATAATAAAACTCATGGCAGCATTTCAATTATTCAATAAATAATTTATTTTTTTATTTAAATAATTTAATTCTCGTAAAATTTTCTAACCAAAATTGATTTAAAAATGATTTTTAGTTTAAATTTTAGATAATAATTGAACATTAAAATTATTTTGAAGAAGTTGCAGTAATAATATTCTTATAATATAAAATAATAATTCTATCACTTGATAGTCTTTAATTATAAAAAATGAAAAAAAGAGTGTCTTCAACTCGGAGTAATCAATATCTTTATGTTTTATAACAATATTTTTATAAGTTGTTTAATTTCAAAAAGGTTTGAATTTGAAATTTTTGAAAATATTAATTCCTGTGGAAAAATAATAATAATTAAATATTTATTTAAAAAAGAAGTTATCTTGATGTTTTCAAATAATTTTACATTAAGGAAATTTGTAAATAAATGTAACAGAACATTTTTTTGAGTAAAATTTTTTCCTTTATTTTCTAAAAATTATAAATTTTTCAATTAAAATTTGTAATTGACAAATAGAATTAATAAACATTTTTTTCCTTTATTTTTGAAAAACTTTGAATTTTATTAAAACAATTGTAATTAAGAAATAGAAATTATGTAAATTATTTCCTTATGAAAATAGAAAATTTTCTACAAAAATATTAAGAAACAGGAATATGTAATGTTTTTTTCCCCAAAATAAAAGAATGAGTTTGTGAACAATATTGTTATTAAGAAATAATAATTATGAATAAAATGGATATTTATTTCCTATTTCTTAATCATAATTTTTTAACAATTTTCTATTTTTTATAAATAAAAAAAGGAGGAAAATTTGCATAATTGTAATCAGTCAAACGAAATTTGTTATAGAAAAAAAGTATATAATAAACAAAATGGGTATATTTTTCATTTGTTAATCATAATTTTTTTTAGATTTTCTAATTTCTAATATTATTTTATTATAAATCATAAAAAAATACTTGCATATTTTCGATTTGTCCAACAATATTTTTCAAAGAAAAACAAAAGCAGAATAAATGAAAGTAAATAAAAGAATACGAGGATTAATATTATTATAGTTATATAATAGTTAATTAATGAAACAACAAAAAATTGATGAAATCAAACAACAATTGATGAAAATATGTAAAAAAATAGTCTCGCCAATTAGAAGAAAGGTAAAATTGAAAAATTTGAAAGTTAATTTGAGATTCGAAATAATTTGCGTCGTAAAAATTATTTTCGCTTATAGTTTTTTTTCTTTATTTTCGTTATATAAAAACGGAAGTGAAATGGTTGGAAGAGAAAAAAAAAGTTTATACACACTAATTCTGCAATGTAGGGAAAAGTACAGATGTAAAAAAGTACGGATAAATGTTGGCAAGTTGAGATGATCTCGTGTGAACTGTTGCGAACTACTGTTTCAGAGGGAGGAGTGTGGTTTACCGCAAACTTAACACGCGCCAGATGGTGATTCAGCTATTTGAATTTCCTTCGGGTTTTTTAACACGCATGCAGAATACACTAAAGTAATCGCTTTTCTCGTTCTAGCCACCAAGTCATCTCTTACTCTCTCTATATATACATACATACCGGAAATCGATATTCCTTTTAAGAGAGAGAAAAAAAGAGCGAGAGAGAGAGAGAGAATTTCTCAGATCTTTTTGCAATATTTCTTTTTTTTTCCTCTCGTCTTTTTCATTTTCACTGTATATTCCTCGTTCGTTTTCTCAACTGACACATTTTTTTCTTCCCCTGCTTTTCATTCCGGTCTCGGTTTTTCTTTGGATAAGAAGAACTTTTTAAAATTGATGAATTTCACTCTCTTGATATAGTTT